CCCACCACCACCCATCACGATTCGAATCCTGTCAAAAGGTTGCCACAGTTGTTTCCAAGTGGCCCATCTGACGTCGAGATCACGGCCAGGTACCGTACTGCAAAGTAAATGTTTAAGCTTCTTTCAGGCCAGCCTACGGCCTAGAACTGCAACACCACAAGCACCTACCTACTTATGTGTGTGTGAGTGGATATTGAATCAAGCCTCAAGCTCTTGACTCGCTGCCCAAAGCCAAGCACAAGGTCCTCCTTCGTAGAATGAATCTGGCAAACAGCTTCCTTTCTCCACGGAGCATTCCATTCCCTCCCTACCTACCCTACCTAAACCACGCCACTGCTAGCTATTAGCTACAGGTAGCTGGTACCGTAGACTCAGACAAACCTCAACCACCAACCTCGAGTTAAACTAAAAAATATCTCTCACGTCCACCCCCAACAGGCCAGCTTGTTTCCATCCCAAACACCGTCCCCCCATCTCTCAGAACCCACCCTCTTCCAAGAATGATGATCTCGGAGTTATCAACCTCAGAACCCACCACCCCAACTCTGAAATCTACAATCCCGAGAACCCTTCATCGAACAATCGAACACCCCTCCCCCCCTAAAGCAAGGTCGCATCAAAATCCCACCCACTGCACAACCCCCAACTCATGTTTCCAACCACCTACTACTACTGTAGACAAAATCCCGAGATCCGAACATTCGCATAAACCTCGACCCCCCAGCCCCCAGCCCAGCCCAGCCGGCACTTCAGTCTTCCATTTTTCTCCTCCCTTAAACATCCCGCAGACATTATTTTCAGTCTGTATACCAAGAAAAAAATAAAGGTGTGACACACACAGCCATCTTGAAACCGGAAATAGGCTTTACAGTCCACTAACCTACCTACACCAAGCCGCACAACACAACACACAAAAACCTCCTTCCACATCTCGACAATTACATGCACCAAATATAACGTTAAAATCGCGTTCATTAAACAACTTCCCTACTTGTGCTCATCTCACTGCTTGCCCCCCCCCCACTCCCTCTTTCCATCATCCTAATACTACTCCCTTTCCATACCATCTCCCCTTTTCATCCCAGCCTACCCCCTCAGCTTTCCAGCAATGATGTCCCTCGGCTCTAAACCACCCCATCATCAACTTCTTCCCTTCACAACTCATTGCACTGATATCCCCCCACACCGGACCAAATTGTTCCTTCTCCTCTTCTCCATCTTCCATAATTCTTTACATACTATCCACTTAATCTTCCCATCAGACCTCATCTCCATTTCATAACCTCCGTAGTAGCATTGCAATCAATATTACAAAAAACAGTATTGTAATGGCTAACAGATTACAAAGCATAAGGGTTAAGAGAGCGGATAGTCAAGCAACTGCAATACTTGTTAGTCATCATGATACTCATTAAACAGCAACAAGAAAAAACTCACGGTGGGCTCTTGCTGAGATCCGTCTTGAGAATGACCGGCACGCGCGTCATCTCGGTAACATCCTGGATGTACTCCCCGCCCTCCTCTCTCAGCTTGAAAAGCTTGAGATACTTCTCCTTGTTGGTAAGGCGAGTCTCGGGCGCCTCGGTAACCGGCACCTTGGAATCCGACCGAGTGCGGTGCAGAGTCGACGAAGAGCGAGTAGGCGAGCCGGGCACGCTCTGAGTGGGGCGCTCGGCGAGAGAAGCACCAGCCATGGCCTCGGTGATGTCAGAAGCATTGTCCTCATCATCGTCAAAGAGAGCATCGGCCGACTCGGGCGCAATGGTGCCAGTCTCGGTCTGCTTGCGAGCAGCCTCCTCGCGCTCCTTCTTGACACGTTCAGCCTCCTCGGCCTGGCGGGCAGCGGCCATGGCGTTGGAAACCCTCTGCGAGGCACCGCCAGCCCTGGGCCTCTCGTCCTCGGGGACGTAAGCCGAGCTGGGGACACCCTTCTCCCAGTAGAGCTCAAGAACACGCTTCTCCTTTCTGAACTCGGCCTTCTTGAGAGGGAGCTGGTCACAGTGGACGCGCTTCTCGAAGCCCCAGTCGGGGATGAGCACATCAAACGCCGACTCGTAGACACAGACGACGATACCCTCGCTGATGAGATCTCCGTTGGTCTCCTGGCGGACCTTGTCCATGGTACGGCAGGCCTCGATGTGGACGCTCTGCTCCTGAGCATTCTGAGCAGAGTCCTTCTTGGTGTTGCAAGACTCGACCGTCTTGATGAGATTTTCCAAGTCTTCGGTGTACTCGGTCTCGGTAAGAACAGCTTCAAGCTGGCGGTGAACCAAAATGTCGGCGTAGCGCCGGGTTGGGGCAGTGAAATGAGTGTAGAGCGGCACATTAAGAGCATAATGAGACCAAAGGTGCTGGGCAGTCTTGCCAGCAATAAAGTACTTGGCGCGTTGCATCGACTTCAGGAGCAGTGTTTCCATGCCCTTTCTGATGTCAGAATCGTCCACTCTGAACAGGCTGTTCTGGAGAGACCCGCTGCTGGTCGAGTCAATCTCATAGCCCAGAGCGGACATGCGCTCCACAAAAGTCTGCAGACGGCGAGAGTTGGGAGGGGCGTGGCGGCGCAGAAGGGCCTTCTCGGGAAGAGCAGCGGCCAAGCGCTGAGCGACGTAGGTGTTGGTCTTGTGCATGAGCTCTTCAACGAGCTCGGTGGCCAAGCTGCTATCAAAGACATTGTGCTTGACCGGGATGTTCTCATCGTCAAGCTGCTGGAGCAGACGAAGAGGGGCAATAGGCTCACCGCCAGCACCGAGGCGTGCCTCGTGGAACTTCTGGGCAAGGAGGCTGAGAAGCTGGATATCCTTGGCGCCAGCAACGGGGTGGCTGAAGCCGGCCTGGTTAGAGAGAGCCTCGTCAATCTGAGACAGCGACAACTTGCCGCCGCTCTTGACAATGCCCTTTCCAATCCAGGTGTCGCCTTCGGCAACAGCGCCAGTGTGTGGGTTGACGTGGAAGACAACGCTGACGGTCAAGCGATCCTCCTCGGGAGTCAGGGCACAGTACTCGCCGGACAGCCTGGGTGGGAGAAGAGCGCAGAAACGGTTCATGAGCTGAACGGCGGTGCCGCGCTTCTTGGCCTCTCTGTCGACGAGCGAAGCTGGCTTCACGAAGTGAGTGACATCGGGAACGTGAACACCAATCTCGACCTTGCCATCAGGCAGTGTCTTGACGTGGACACCGTTTCCAAGCTCGGCAGTGCTTTCGAGGTCGAGGGTGAAGACCTTCTCGCCACGGAAGTCTCTGCGGGAGCCGAGGGCCGCCTCATCTTCCTTTGCGATAGTCCAGTCCTGAGGGTTCACACTGCGCAGAACAGCATCGGAGAACTCATCCGAAGAGAAGTTGTTGTCACGCAAAAGAGCATCCGTTTCAACCTTGAGATCACCCATCTTTCCGAGCTTTTCGACCAAAGTACCGAAAGGATGGAGCGAGGTGATGGGCCAGCGCTTGATGCAGGCAACGAAGATCTGGTCGGCGTAGTCCTGGTGCTTCTCAACAAAGTCACGAGGAGCCTGTTCAGTGGGAATGGCAATCAAGGGAACACGCTTGTCAGTAGGCTTGAACCACACAATCTTGGGCTTCTCCTGGGCGCGGTTGTCATGATGGCGAGAGTTGGACCCATCACGAGCGGCGCGCTCGGCCTCCTGCTTCTCCTTGGTAGCCTGGCTGCTGGGACGGAGGAGACCCAGGGTGCCGGAGAACATCTGACCAGCCACACGCTCAATGACAGCAACAATATGGCCGGCATAAAGAGGCTTGGACTCGTCGTTGATCTCCTCCTCCTCGACGAGAAGGAGGCTCTGACCCTCCACTTCAACGTCGTCATTCTTCTTTTGGGTAGGGCGCTGTCTCAAACTGCCACGGCGGCGGAGGCCACCTTCGGCGCCATTGTCATCATTAGTGCTGCCCTGGTTTGTTCCGGCGGTGGACCCAGAGCGAGTGTCGGTGATGTCCTTGCGCTTCTTCTTCTCCTCCTTCTCGCGCTTCTGAGACCACACCTCGTCGACATCAAGGAGCTCGACAGCCACCAAGTCACCCTCAAGGGCGCGGTTGCGATCCTTGCTGCCGCAAATAAAGATATCGGCATCGAGCAGACCATCCTGAGTCGACACATAAGCGTCACTACGGTTCTTCTTGTTGACCCGGAGGATACCCGAAACCAGCTGCCCGTCGCCGAGGAGAGCAGGAAGGGTAGCCTGGGGGAGGTAAGGAGTGAAAAGCGTCTTGCGCTGTTGCTGTTGGGGCTGCTGGGCGGCCATTTGAGGAGCGTGTTGGCTGGCGCCAAGACCAGCCATGTGCTGGCCGCTCATCTGAGCAATCTGGAGAGCCTGCAGCTGGTTGAGCTGCATAGGGTTGAGCTGCTGACCAGGGAACATGCCGGGGACCATCATCTGCCCAGGGAGCTGCATCAACTGAGGCTGGCCAGCATACTGGAAAGCGCCTAGACCAGAGATGGACTGGTGGTTGATGGACCCGCGGCTGCGATGGCCCGGCTGGAACCCCTGATTCTGACCGGCGCCGGCAGACTGGTCCTGGCCCTGATTTTGGTTCTGGCTCTGGTTGCGCCAGTTGCCATCAAAGTTCCGAGATCCAGTGCGGGCGTGACCTCCGCCAGCACCACCACCGCGGCGTTGGAGGTCGTCGCCAGAAAAGTTCATACCACCACCACGTCCTCCACGACCACCGGCGCCGACAGCCATGCTCTGGCTGCGGCCATGACCGCCGCCGCGACCGCCACGGAAGGAGGAACCTTGTGCGATCTGGCTGTCGGCTGGGGCAGCAACCGGAGCGGGCGCCGGGGCGGCACTAGCACCCTTTGCGTCGGTTTCTGTCTTTTCAGCAGAGCCCGAAGCACCAGGGGCGGGGAACTGGAAGCCGGAGGTGGTGCGCTTCTGCTGGGCGATTTCGGCGGCCTTCTTGGCGTCAGCGAGGGCTAGGGAGTGACGTCTCTGATGACCACCCCCGGCGCCACCACCTCTACCACCACGGCCGCCAGCGTTTTCTCCTCTCTGGGCGGGTTGGAGGTTTTCAAAGTTGCCAAAGGCAGATCCCGAGGCTCCAGCGGAAGGGGCGGGAGGGGGCCCCCCCATACCCATGTTGGGAATAGCCGACTGATTACGGCGATGTGAGAGTGGCTGTGTGGGAGGGGCCAAGGACACATTTTGCTGTTGAAGCTGATTCGGGAATTGAAAGCCGGTCTGCGGCGAAAGGTTGGGCATGGCTTGCTGGAGAGGGTTGAAGCCGCCTTGGCCCAGAGCCTGAGCGTTCTGCAACATGCCCATGTGCTGATAAGTAGCTTGGAGCTGCTGCTGCTGCTGTTGCAGCAGCTCGATTTGCTGCGCAATGGCCAGTTGTTCCACTGCGAAGAAAAACACATGTTAGCTTGGCTGTTTGTGGCTTGAGGTGATGGTTGGTGAGGGTGGTGATTGATGGATGGCAGAAAAGGGGCGAATTCAGGGGTAGCACTTACTGCCGGGATTCGCATACATGCTCATCAACGGGGTCAACTCCGAAGGGCTACGGCGATGGGCGATATGCAGACGGCGGCCGGTAGGGCCAGGCACACCTCCAGGCTGGGCCTGGGGTTGCTGTGATTGCTGCTGCTGCTGCTGCTGCTGTTGATCCATTGCGACTACTCAGGGGCTGAGGTGCGTGTGGATGGTGGGCAGACAGTGGACAGACGGACAAGGTATGGATGCACGTCGAGTGCGGTGCAAGTGTATGTTGTTGCGATATAAGCAAACGGACAGCGGGAGGCGGATGCAGACAGGAGTAGTCGATAATGGTCGGGTGTCGTCGTGTCGTTTTGGTTTGTTGCGTTGCTGCGTTGCGTTGTTGTTGCTGTTGCTGAGCTGTGCGCTGTTCTTTTGGGGGGTTTGGTTTGTGAATGTGGAGATGTCGCCCACAGACGCTGCGGTTGGCAGAGGCAGAAACAGTTTTTTGAATTTCGAGTCCAAATGGGTTAATGAAAGATTGAAAAATGCGTCGAGCTTTGGGGAGGGAGTGTGGGAGTGGGAGAGGTAGAGAGGGCTTGGTGTGTGAGAGCTGCGATAGCTGTTCGAGCGAAGCCTGAAGAGGGGACGGGGGAAGAGAGAGAGGTAGAAGGGAGGTCGGGGCAAGGAGGGTGCGATTGGGAAGACGGGAACCCGGAGGTCGTTGATGACGATGAAGCGAGACAAGAGACAGACAACCTGCTGGAAGAGACAGCGGAAAGGAAAAGGAAGGATGCTCCAGGGCGATGGCACAGTGCTTTTGGGTGGCTTCGAGGGGGGAGGGTGTGCTGTGGCAGCTACCGAAAGGGTAAGGAAAGTGGGGTTGCCCAGTGCCACGGCCAGCAAATCCGAATTGAAGGCGTGACGCACCAGCGGCGTCCCCAAGCTACCGTCCCACTATTCAACCCCTGCTCAAGCAAAGACGGATGCAGCCAGAGGCCAATGGGCTCCATTCTCCTGCAGCCGATGGGGAGCTTCACTTCTCTTTCTACCACCTCACCACTCTGACCGACACTTTCTTCCTAATGATCTGAACAACCTGGAAGAATATAAATTGTCTTGTGGCTGTGGTGAAGCCCTCTCTGTTTCAACCCTCTCCGAGCTTGAAGATATCAGGTTACAGGTAGGTGAGCAAAGAGGGGAACCTGGTTTTTTCTTCTAATCTGGGCATTGCGGGGGGGCGAGACGCACGCACGGCTGTTTTGTGGGACTGGCTTTTCGTCTACAACCTCCTCCCAACTGACAGCTCGGGGACAATCATTGACTGGCAAGACCTGTTCTGGTGAACCAGGCTGAGGCGGCACGGTGTTTGGTTGGAGCTGTCAGAACTGTCGAGCTAGCCCTTGATGATGCGTCCAGTCCAGAGCTCTGACTGTCAACTTGTTGCGGCACGAAACCAACATTTTCGGCAGTGTTGGAAGAGATGGACAGGAATAGCTAAAACATTGCATCCGGATAGTCATTTGCCCGGCTACTGCTAAATAAAGAGATATATACGATGGCTTTGATCACATCTTTTTGCTGATACCAGACTACAGGGTGGATTGCAATTTGTCTTGATGGAGCCTCTGAGTTCTAGCTCTGAAACTGTTTTGATAAGCTCCGATATGTGGCTCCAACTGTTTGTTCCATTGGGGTCCCGGCCCAGCTCTTGGAGACGCTGCACAGCTGGAAGCTCCAAACCTTGGGCGACGTTGAAGCCTGGAGACTCGTACCCGTCGTTCGGAATTATCCACAACACCCGATGTCTTTCTTGTCCCCGCTGATCGCTAGCCTAGTTACATCCAATGCCCCGATTGAGATGCGGCCATGTCTCAATGTCCAACAGGAGCAAGAGCAAGAGCAAGAGCAAGAGCAAGAGCAAGAGCAAGAGCAAGAGGTAGCTGTCAAGGAGCAAGGTAGCAAAGAAGGGTTAGGGTTGTCGACGTTGCTTTGTTGGGCAACTCAAAGCAGATCATCTGCTGCAGGGATCATCTTGGAGCAGGAAAAAGTTAGACACCAGGAGGGTGCATCTAACCCCGCGACTTTCTTCATTCGCGGTTCACGGTACAGCAAAAGAACAATCAACGTCGCGACATTGACCACCTGTTTTCCCGCGCAACACATCCACCCTGCCGGATCTCTTGATCGACGCCTTACAAGCCATAAGCCGGGCGCGTCCCAGCAACAAAACGGCACGATGCAGCGAGCATCTCCCTCGCCAGCGCGGAGCTATGATGTCGCCAGCCCTCACCGAGCCGATCTCGCAGAAATCTTCAACCAAGACAGGAACTCGCCGGCGCGTCACAGGCAAATCCTCGAGACCTCAAGACAAGAACATACCAGAATTCGAGAGGAGGCCGAAAGGGTGCTGCAAGAGGCTCGTCTGAAGGAGGAAAGAGACCGAGTCCTCGAACAGAGAAGAAAAGAGGAAGAGAGGATCAAAACCGAGCAGGAATTAGCTGCCGAGCGCGTCAGATTAAACGAACTCAAGGCGAAAAAGATCGAGATTCCCCCGTTACTACCAGATCCTGAACCACCAAAGCCAGCCCCAAAGCCCACTCCACCAGCAGCTGTTTCTCCAGCCAACAAAGTCGATGAACCAAAGCCGACTTCCGTACTCAATGGAGCCGGTCCGTTCGGGTCAACAGCACCCACAGCACAGCCATCATCAGGCTTCTTTGCTGCCAAGGCGCCTCCAGCCCCGACACCATCACCATCACCACCAGTACCCGCAGTAGCACCAGCTGCTAAGCCAGCAAATTCAGTCCTCGGCATCGGAGGGTTGCTTAATGGGACCAACCAGACCAATGGTACGGCTGGGACAACAGGGGCAGTACCGGCAGCGCTTCCAGTAGCTCCAACGGCTCCAGCGGTACCAACCATCGACAGATATACCGTGATCCACAAGAACCTGAAAGGCCTGCGGAAGATGATGGCAGAACAGGCCAAGACCAACCGGGCCCTGAAAGAGAGAATGGGAGATATGAGGAGAGAACTCAGAAAGTGTATAGGCCAGCTTTCTGCGGGAGCTCCTGGTGTAAACCGGTCGCAGGCACGTACACCAAGGCGGGGACCTTGTCTCAAAATTCGTTTTATGCTAACCGTGTAAACAGCAAACAAAAATTACTAATTTATTGCGCGAGGCACTGGCGAACCAGGTTCAGTCACAGCTCATTGACCCATCAGACTATGTCTTTGAGCCAAGACAACCCGTCGAAGGAGCAGCACGCAACGAGCCAGCACTGCCTTCGCTGTTCATTTACCTCCTCAACATCTTCAGCAAAGGCGCCATCTCGCAGTTCATCAACGAAGCCTCAGCACGACCAGAGACAGCTGACCCGGTAGGCGTCTGTGTAGCCGCTACAATCTCAGAACCGGACTTTCTCTGGCGAGGAAAATCAATGATTGACATTTTGCTGGCCAAGTTCAGGATAGTCTGCCCAGTCCTGTTCGGCTACCGAGGAAGCGAAAAGACCGAGCAAGGGCGAGCAAGACTTGGGTGGTGGAAAGACAGCGGGCGATGGATTGGTGAGCAACAACACATGGACCGGATGACGGGTCTCGGTGCCGGGTTCGCCGCCATCTCCCTCCGCAAGTTTGCCGCGTCCAAGAAGCAAAACCCGTATCCGGCTCGGCATTACTGGACCGCCATGGCGCGTATAGTGAACACGCCGGCGGTTGAGATCAGCAACACGCAGTGTATCGTCCTGAAAGCCATGATTGAGAACTACGAAGGGAAATTCATCGACGCGTACGGCAGCGCCGCGGTTGTCGCTCTGCGGACGGCCCTCGTCGAGTTCCCTGCTAGAGCGCCGACAAAGGGTGCGGCGGTCCACTCGCTTGAAGTGTTGGCTACACTACTTAAGAAGAACACCGGGTTGACATTGGGATAGAAACTGCGGTGGAACCAGAGGGTTCTTTAGAGTGGGGGCTGAGTGAGTTTTGGCGTGTATTAATACCCAGCGGCTGAAAAGGATATAACTCGGGGAATGGGAAAGGGTCAGCATACAAATTTATCATGATATTGCTGGGTGGGAAGTTGTGTTGGGGGAAAATGTTTGGTTAGCGGTTTGGATTGGCTCAGGTTGAACCATTCTGTAACAGCGTGTGTGTTGTCTAAATACCCTACAAGTGTATAACACAACTCCTAAATAACAAATACCGTCCCAAACGCCGTATAAACATCGCTGTGACAAGAACCGTAGTCAAGTCCCGTATATCTACGCTGATCATGTGCAAGAACTCCCTGTCTTCCCAAAAAACCAAGTGCCCTACCCACCTCAATCAAAACACCCTATAGAATCAACAGTATCACCAACAAAATCACCAAAACCAATATCAGCACCCCGATACAACAACTACTCAGCGTATCCTCATTCCTCTTCAGGACGTACTTCATCTTGTCCATCCCCGTCTGCAACCTCCCCCCTACCCTATCCGCCAAACCATCCACCACCTCCAACATCTCGGCCTGCTCCTCCAGCTCCCGCCCCATACTATCCGCCTGCCGCCGCAGATTGCCCACTGTTTGGAAGACTCCGTCCAGATGCTGATCCTGCTCCCGCATCATCATGACCTGCTGCTCTTGCTCGAACTGAGCGGCGTAGTCCTCCCCCCTTTCGGGATTGTCAAGATCGGCGAAGGAGGATGGGTCTGGGAGACTGCTGGAGGTCTTGGAGAGCTCCTCGCGCATGTCGTCGATTTCATTGCCTACTTCCTGCACGAGGCGTTTGCGGCGGGTGATTTCTGTTGGGGAGAGGTTGAAGTGGGAGGGGTTGGTTTCGATTGCGCGGATGGAGGCGAGGAGGTCGGATAGGTCTTCGGAGAGGGATTCGAGGGAGGACTGGAGTTCGGCGCGGGCGGAGATGAGTTCTGGGGATGGGGTGGTGGTGGTGGAGGAGGAGAGGGAGCGGATGCGGAGGTAGGAGGTGAAGAGGGGGCGGGTGGTTTGGAGTTGGGTGAGGACATCTCTGTGTGTATGTTGTCAGATGAAAGGCGGCGTGGTATGTGTAGGGGGAGGGGGGCATACTGTTGGACTTGGAGGAAGGGGTCCTCTTCACTAGTCGAGGACATCATTTTGAATGGTTGGGATTGGGACTGCGCCGGAGGTTATGGGATTGGTGGCATTTGATTTTAGAGAGGGATAGGATTGTTATATAGGATGCCTTGAAGTCTTGCGACGAGTTGTGGACTTGTTATTAAAAAAAAGTTGAGATGTGTTTGCTGGTAAACCTTGAAGGATGACGTTTGCTCTGCTCTGCTCTGTTCTGCGCCAAAGAGGTGCCTGTTCACATCTCCAGTTCCCTGCACGCGCGTCTCTACATTCACGCCTGGTGTCCAGCTGCCGGATTGGAGACCCAGATTCCAATTCAACGCTATCCCCTTTGCGTCACGGGACTGGATGGATTGGAGCCTTGGCTGCGCAACGGCATGGTTTTCTCCTATATACTGGCATGCTAACCGCATCCAGAATAAGTCCCCAGGGCTTGAGTTTTCCAACATAAAAAGGTCTGCAAAACACAGGTAAAAACAGGTCCTTACCGTGCACTTTATCTCTTCCACACGTCCCGGAAAACTCTGGAAGGCCCACGTATAGATAGTTGTGTCAAAATTCACAGGGCCATCAGAGCCATCGAGCCATCAGAGCCAGCCGTCAAAGCCTCAACACCGTCAAAACTGTCAAAGCCGTCAGGGCCGTCAAGGCTATGGCTGTGAGGTTAGGGATGGCTTCGGCCTACGTGGGTAGTGGTAGTAGTGGTAGTGGTTTGGTTTAAAGAAATCAACATTCAAATTTAGGAAGGGTAGACTTACATATTGAGACCTACTTTTTTGCAGTGTTTTTGGTTTAAACCGATGTCAGGAATCTCTCGTGGACCTTTTGGCCAGGTCTGGTTAGCGTGCCGGTATATAGGAGAAAATCATGCCGTCGCGCAGCCGGGCTCGATGAGATGGTCCCCTCGCCCCCATCCATTGCCCCGCACTCTCAACCACTCACCTCGCTGTCCCGCCTCCAGCCCCCCTGAAGACACCCCCTGTAAACCGGCCCCCCCCAAGCTCGGCTCTCACCTGCCGCAAGCCCAAGTCGAAACAGAAACGTAGCTTCAACTGATCGAGGTGGCAGCAACAACAGTCCGAGTTCTGGACTTCTCATTTATTTTCTCTTTTTTTCCCTTCCCCCGCATTCTTGTCTTCAATTGATTCATTCCCCCAATTCTCTCTCCCTCACAGAAACACACCTCACAGAAGCAAGACACAATGTTCAGCCTCAAGCGGGTCGTCCTGACCGCCACCGCCCTCCTGGGTGTGTCGATGGTTGCTTTCTCCCAGGTTGCTGAGGCTGCCAAGGGCCCCAAGATCACCCACAAGGTCTACTTCGACATCACCCACGGTGATGAGCCCCTCGGCCGCATCGTCATGGGTCTCTACGGCAAGACCGTCCCCAAGACCGCTGAGAACTTCCGCGCTCTTGCCACTGGCGAGAAGGGCTTCGGTTATGAGGGGTCTACCTTCCACCGTGTTATCAAGCAGTTTATGATCCAAGGTGGTGACTTCACCAAGGGTGATGGCACTGGCGGCAAGTCCAGTAAGTGTTTTCCGAGGGTTTCTTGAGAATGAGACATGGTGTACTGACTAGAATCGCAGTCTACGGCGAAAAGTTTGCCGATGAGAACTTCAAGCTCAAGCACACCAAGAAGGGCATTCTCTCCATGGCCAACGCCGGAAAGGACACCAACGGCTCCCAGTTCTTCATCACCACTGTTGTTACTTCGTACGTTGAACCTGTCCGAAATACTTTGGAAGGAGCTTTGGCTAACAAGTCCCCTGCAGCTGGCTCGATGGCCGCCACGTCGTCTTCGGCGAGGTCCTCGAGGGCTACGATATCGTCGAGAAGATCGAGAACGTCAAGACCCAGCCTGGTGACAAGCCCGAGAAGACGGTCAAGATCGCCAAGTCTGGCGAGCTGGAGGTCCCCGAAGAAGGTATCCACGTGGAACTCTAAACACAGCGTTATTCTTTACATATACCCTTTTTTACTTTCATTCTTAGTGCCGTCCGTGTGCCCAGGTTTTGCTGTGCTCCTCATCCGCACCTTGTTTGCTGACCGGGGATGTGTTTGCGTACCCAGGCCACGGCGACCAAGATGAAAATCGAGAAACCATCACCTTTGGAGTTCACAAGGCCGATATGAAGGATATTTCGTCATGAGATTACACACACACACGAAGCAAAAAGACATGAAATTGATGAAAAAACCACGAGTGCTGATTTATGGGCTTTTGTTCCATTGCGTTCTTGCAGACTTGGATGATGACTCTGCAGAGGTCACCGACGACGTTTATCCGACCGCCCCGATCGAGAGCAGCGGTTGGGCCATCTTTGGCAAGTTTTTTGTCTTTGCCGCTGTGGTGGCTTCTGTTGTTGGCTATCTTCGCCAACGCCACACGCAAAAGTCTAAGAAGGCTCGTTATGAGAAGAGCTTGGCGTAGAGAGGATCGTAGGATTAGTGGGGAGCTGGGCCTGAATAGGTATTCCTTCGTGGGAGACATGACAAGCTGTAGAATAAACTTGGTAAACTTTATGGGCCGAGAGCAACAATTGCTCTGGTTGTAGTCTCAGCATGGTGCTGCTTGTTCTTATTCACTTCATGATTTCGGTTTACATGCATCACGTGGGCACCCCCGTTTCAAGCATCTTAAATTTTTGGGCTTGTCTATCAACCAAAGCACTCACTCATACATACACACTCACACTCACAACTTAATTCTCCACGACCACATCTAACGACCACGTTTGATAGATACCCGAAACCCGTTTTCTTCGCCGAACGTTACCCCTTTCACCACCGGGTCATTTGGAAAAGAAAACAGCCAAAATGAAACTCCTCACCCTCAACTTCCTCACCTGCGCCGTAAAAACCTGCAAGTCCTCCTCGGACTCGTTCCCCCTCCACCCAAAGGACGCTGAGCTCGCCTCGGACGACGTCGAGGTCAACCCGGAGCTGTTGGTCAACTTGCTTCCGAGGCTGGACTGGAAGGCGCTCAAAACGACGTCCGCAGAGGTATTTCTCCCCTCATGCATCTATCCGGTATAAGACAAAACTTCAACCATACTGACAGTGAGTGTGTATAGCTCGGCTTCCCCCAACTCCCAGACTCCCCACCAACCATCGAACAACTCCAATCAGACGACAAGTTGTTGAAAGACCTGCACTCGCTGCTCATGGAGACGAACCTGATGGAGGGCAAGCTCGTCTGCGGGGTGTGCGGGCATGAGTATGCCGTTCGGGAGGGGATTCCCAACTTTTTGCTGCCGAGTCATTTGGTTTGAAGTTTCTTCTTTTGGGTGGACGGACAGTTTGAGGAAGAGCGGGATCGATATTGGGAGGGAAAGGCAAAGAATCACGATTGGGCCCGGAAAAATCGGTGCATATGGTAGAGAAAATAGCTGTTTGCTTGTGGGAATGTGATGGCATATGGGATGGTGGTTAGGTTGTTCATCTTGTTGATACCAAAAAAAAATTGCAAAAGGTTCTGAAACACAACCTTTTCCTGATTTTATCATTGATTACTGGGAAAGACCCGTTACTTCAAAGTCAATGTGCAATTCCCACTCTCATTCTCGGTTGTCACTGACACCAACCATATTCAGACAAGAACCTAGTATGAAAATGCCACAATTATGCCCTCGCCCAAGCCATTCCCAACTATCATAACTCCATCCAGGCCAACAAAATGTAGGCCCTAAAGTAATAAACAAGACCAAAAAAGGAAAACGACGAAACAAATCTATGCTACAAGAGTTACACAGTTCTTCCAATACAGCCCATCCATCCATCCATCCATCCTCCCTTCTTCATTCACAGTCATACCCATACACACACACCCGCACTTACGCCCAGTATGTTTACTGCTGCTTCTTCTGCGCAGCCGGCCCCATCTCCTTATCAAACGCCCCATACGACACCTCCAAACTAGCCAGCGCCTTCAGCCCAACCGTCAAAATAGCCAGCACAATCACCAGCGTGATCAGCGCCATAAAGATGCCTATTTTTTGTCATGTCAGCAACCCACTCCCCCCTTTTCACTTTCCACTTGTAAAGACTTACCAGGAGTAAAAAACTGATACTTCTCAAACAACCCCCTCGTATCCCTCTCCGTCTCATTCCCCCTCCTATTCACCACCACCCCCTCAAACTCATCATCCAATCCCCTCTTCAAATCCATATGCCCCGTAGCCACCCCGTCAAACTCAGACCTATAAGGCGGCAACTCAGCCGGGTCCGAGAAAACCATAACAGTGTACCCCTCCCCCTCCTCATCAAGGGCAGACATCCTCTCCCCAAGTCTGTGATCTACACCAACCAATGTCAGCACCACCCTTCACAGTTTGCCATGAAAGAACATACCATTATCCTCCAGAATCTCCACCCTCTCCTTCTCATCCCCCCCCCCAACAACAGGAGGAAGACCCCTCATCCTCACCTCCAAAAGCTGCATCGCTCCCCCCTTGACATGTTTGCAGGACTGGGCGACCAGCTCCTTTAGCTCGGTGGCGGAAATCTGCCCGATAACCTCTGCTACGCTAAAGGCGGACTTTGTGTTTTGGGCGCGGGTGGCCTTGCAGAGGTTGGGGGTGTGGAGGCAGTGCTCCGAGGTGCGAATGTCTGCCGCGTGGAGGTTGGGTTGGGAGATGAGGATGTACTTGTCTGTTGGGCAGCCGGAGAGGAGGGACTTGGTTGTGGAGAGGACTGAGGAGGATGTTTGGAGTTGGGGGTTGGAGTTCGGGGTGGGGAGGCTGTAGAGGGAGAGGGGGGGTTAATATTTTGGGGGATATGGCAAGGGGGAATGGGAAACGTACTCGGCGGAGGAGAAGAGGATAAAGGGCGCGGAATCGGTAAAGGCGTTGACGCTGGTTGCTGCTGTGCAGGCCAGCAGGGTGGCTGCTTGGCTGATACGCATCGTGTTGTTGGTGTAGGTGAACAAATTGGCTTCAACTGGGAGAGAAGTGAGGTGAACTTGGCCCCTCTGTCGTTGTCTTGAATCGCGAGGGGTGTTCGATGTTGTATGGTCAGGAAGGTATTCAACACAAACGTCGCGGGTGGAGGAAGCTGTCTGCGACAAGTAAGGTATGCAGCTGGCTGGGATGGATGATGCAGCTCGGTCTCGCTCCCGTCGTATCCACCAAACCCAAGCCAAGACAGGCGCCACCACCAACGGGCTCCTTGCCTGCCACCCGCTGCTGCAAACCAGGCGGTGTGGGGCGGCAAGAATCCCGATAACACCAGCCCGCGCCGTTAGCGAAAAGTTACAGGGGATCAATATCGCCAAAATTACAGCTGCCGGGCCATCAACTCAACCTTCTCAACATCCCACCTCCATCCCGTCACAACCACCCCCCAATTGCCCCCCAAAATGGACGGAACCGCCGCCATGTTCGCCCAACCGGGCATGTTCATCCAGCCCCGAGTCCGCAAAACAGCCCCTCCACCCCCCAAGAAGCGCAAAGTCCAGCACGCCGTCGAAGAAGTTACATTCGACCGTACAGCCCGCGAAGAATACCTGACCGGGTTCCACAAGCGCAAGCTAGAGCGGAAGAGACACGCGCAGCAAATCGCCGAGCAAAAGGCCCGGGAAGAAAGAATTGAGACGAGGAAGCAGGTGAGGAGGAGCAGCAGACTTTTGGTTTTCATGGGAATATCTAAACAGCCTTATTCTGACATGTGTGTGTCTACTACGGTAACAGATTAGGGAAGAGCGCAAACAAGCCCTTGAAGAGCACGTCCAGACCATTCAGCAAATTCTCCGCGAAGCCGAGGCAGCCGGGACAGGTACAGCAGGCAAAGACGGGGAGAAGGACGAGGAATGGGGCGGCCTGTCTGACGACGAGGTGGTGGAGGCGCCCATTGACATGGAGGAGGAGTACATTGACGAAGACAAATACACCACCGTTACCGTCGAGGCTGTTAGTGTGGACCGAGACGGTCTGCACAAACCAAAAGCTGTCTCTTCCGACGACGACGAGGAGTCCAAAACAGAGAAGCCAGAAGACGAAGACAAACAAGCGACCAAGGGCGCGAAGCGTCCCAAAGAGCAAAAGAAAAAAAAGAAGTTTCGATATGAAACCAAGTTCGACAGACAGCTCACAGAGAGAAAGCAAAAGGCCAAAAAGAGGAAGGCAAGAGGGGTGGAATAATACAGACACGGCAGCAATAAACATCTTCAGGGGATTGCGGTACCATGACCACCATGTGCTTGGGGTAATTGTGTGTATTTGTGTTGTAAAAAGCCGCAAAAACTAAATACTGTAGGCAGTGGGAAAACCAGTCCAAACATCCTCCTTCTGTTTCCATCAATCGACATACGGCGTTGAAAACCTCACCCGAGAACCACAGCCCGAGCATGTTTGTGAAGAAAAGATGCCACCGACGAGACCTGTCCCGTACCCAACAACAGCAAGCTGGATGAGCGTCGCTTAGATGTTGCCAATCTCGTTTTGGAAGTCCTCCAGCTCCTTCTGGACGGTGGCGTACTTCTTGGCCATCTCCTCGTACTTGGACTCCCACTGATCGCGCTCCTGCTCGAGAGCCTGGACTTTCCGCTCGAAGTGTCCGGCCTTGACGTCGGTCTGTCGCAACCTATGGTGAGGTAGATGAGGTTAGCATTGGTCATGACGCCGAATAGGGGTAGACAAGAGGCGGCATACTTCTCGTTGGCCTCGCGCAAAGTCTTATCTGCTTGCTCAGCCTCTTCCTCGAGAAGTTGGAGTCTCCGAGTCAGCGTTTCGTTCTGGGTTCCGTGCTGCGCGCCTTCGCTGGCAGCGCTCTTGAGGTCCTTGACCTGAGTTTCGTATTTCTCTACCTCGGACTCTAGAACGCTGTTCTTGTGCGTAAGGGAGATGATCTCCTGCTCCTTCTGGAGGTTCTCCTGCTCGAGCGCCTTGACCTTGGCCTGGAGCTCTTCGACCTTGGCAGCAGATTCCTCAGACTCCAAACGGAGCTGGGTCATTTTCTATGAGTTCACATGGCGCATGTTAGCTCGCTGGAGCAAAACAGAGCCGTTACAGCAACATCCGTGGGCAAACCACAGCAACGACACTGGCACCGGCACCAGCAACACCGAAACACCAAATGGCGGTCTCTCGTGATGGTGGTGGGTTGTAGTAGGGGGGAACCTGATGGTGGGGCGCCAAACAAGGGTCCATCTCTCGAATGTTCCAAGACACTCAACTCACCTCCTTGATGCGATCCATGGTGGTGTTGGGTGTGTGGAAAAGGTCGGTTTGGTTGTAGAGAGGAGGACGAGTTGTTGGTGTTCGAGAAAGAGGTCGCGGGTTTGCAGATGTTCAAGTTGAAAGTCGGATGTGTTGGGCAATAAAAGGAGAAGTGGGTGGATGAGAGCTGGCAAATGTTGGTGGATTAGGTAGGAAATGAAGACAAGGAAGTGCCCCTCACTTGGCTCACCCTCCACCCCCCTCCACTCCCTCCTCCTGGCCAGCGGCCGCGTTTCCATTTGCTGCCGACGGGTGGCAGTCACTTGTCTGATCACCACCCCCAGCCTAAAAGGTGGGGCACTGTTGTCGAGCTGCACCAAGAGCATTCGGCTGCTGCGCCGTTGCTCTGCCAACCAACTTGTTCTTTTTACGGATGCCGGGGGACAGAGTGAGACGCGACCAACACGGTCAGACGCCGCGACCAACCACTGCAAATAGAAATCATTCCACCCTCCTTGTGAAACGGGACATGCCAAACGACCTCCAGACTTCGGACAACAGCAACAACAACCACGACGCACACTCGACACTCGACAATCGCCAGCTGGGAGGCCATTCCCAGATTCAACCCGCTGCGACAATGCTGGCAGCCCACCACGACCAGGAGAATGTGTACGTGCACCAGGCCGGCGCCTCTAATAAACAGCTGGGAGCCAAAACCCCTGGCGCCCGCTATCCGAAAACCCCCCTGAAAATCCCACTCAACGACGAGAATGCCAACCACGGACTCGGAGGAGGCAAAGGAGGGCTATTGCAGACCAAGGGAAACAATGGATTGGTAAAGTCGGGCAAGCAGGCCTTGGTGACGCCAGCTGGTGAGCTTATTTTCTTGCTTTTGCCAATTGTGCATAGTTCTTCGCTGACAAACATGCAGCACCCCAAACTGGTCGAGCCCCTCTCGGGAACAAAACCACCAATGGCAAGGCTCGGGCAACTCAGAATACCCAGGGCGGGAAGGGAGCTGCTCTCAAGACACCGGGACCGAGGCCGACAACTGCTCAACGACCAAAGCAGGCTGCGCCCCAAACTGGGCCAGCCAAAGTCGAAGTCCGTGCCGATGTTCAGCCTCCCATTAAGGCCGATGACGAGGTCGAGTACTGTCCACCAAAGCCCAGGGACTTGCCTTACGAATCCGATGTGCTGCCCGATGGCGTATTAACATTCCAGGGGTTGAAGCCTGAGAACCTCTTCAACGACTACTATCGGTACTACTTCAATCGTGTGGATGGCCAGGGAAAATCGGCCTTGGAAAGGGAAATGGAAGAGCGGCAACAGCGAAAGTTTGCGCGTGGTGATGAGCAGATTCGCTTGGACATGGAGGGGTTTGACTGGAGCGTGGGGGATGCCCCAGAGAGCCGTGATATATTTCAGAAACGGCAGGAGACCATCAAGGTGGAAGCTATCCCGGTTGTCAAGAAAGTCACTGGGTTGGGCTCAAGACCGCCGTCCACAATTGCCTCCCGTAGAGCAGCCTCGGCTCTTGCTGCACCAATCAACTCCATCCGCGGTGCGCCTGGGAAGACCGCGATATTGGCTCCTAAGCCGCAGCCACGAGGCTTGCTGTTGCCCAAGAGAAAGCCAGCCGACAACATTCTCCAACCTGGTACATTCACGCGGGATACGGCATCTTCAATAATAGCCTCGCGCGATACACTCGGCTACAGCAAGGGCCGTTCTGCCTCTTCAGCAATTCATGGGAGAAAAGAGTCGGTCACCCGAATGCCAGAGGTTGCCCCAAAACCTCGCCCCTTGAGCCGCTGTCTGAGCACAGCTTCTTCTGGTTCCGATGCGACGATAACGCCGGCTCGTTTTGCCCAGTCTTCGCAAGACTGGAAGAGACCTGACTTTCTCTCTATATTTGATGTGGAGGACGATGACAGCGCTGCGAGCACAGCAGTGCCCCAAGTTGATGATGATGAGGAGGAATTCCAAATGTCCACAGACTTTTAGACAGCAACTCGATACAGGCATATTCATTGGAGTAAGGTTGGTTGTGTTCGGATATGGCGTTGGAAGCTGGTTGCACGGTTTCTAGCATCAACTGGGCTTTGCTGGGTTTATGGTTGTAGGGGTATTTGTTTTCGGGTTTATGTTTGAGATTACGGATGTGGGAAAGGGTAGGGAATCAACACTGCGGAATTTGGCGTTATCCAATTTATGTCTCTCTTACTTTGTAATTGATAGGGTCCAACAAGACATTTGCAGGAAGGCTCTTTCCAAACAAAAGCATTGCTGTACGAATAAAAATAAACATAAGATGATGTCATCGTGACTTCTCTTGGTTTAACTTTGTGATTCCTTTTCCAAGTCAACTTAACTGTGTACAACTACCCAGCTCGTTGCGTGGCAGCCACATCTCCGCGTAACGGAAAGTCGTGACCTGGAGGCAGCCTGGTCAATGACCCTGATGGCCCCTTTTGTGGATTCTCAATGGATGCCCCATCAACCCCTTTTCACCAATCTTCCAGAGCTGAAAGACTGTCACGTGCTCCTCGCCAGGCCGCCACAGCTGGAAATCAGGGCAGGACAGCTGCGCCACCACGGCCACCCCTTCCACTAGCTACTTACGCTTGGGCCATCCAGGCACGGGCATTGGCGCTGAATGCCAACCGTTTTAGGTTTAGCGAGACAATGGCTCGCGACTTCATCCTCCTGAACATTCCAATGTCTGAACTTCACTTCTGCCTTTGACAAAGAATCGTGCCGTTGAGCTCAATCACCACAGCGTCTTCTCGGTCGCCAACAGCAGCGGATTGTCGACATCCATCTCTGCCGCCGCCAGAGTTCATTTACCCGTCTTCGCCAAGCATCCAACACCGCCCATCCTTTTTTTTTTGCGGCGCGGTCTCCGAGATCCTCCCTCCCTTTGTCGGCAAAACTTCTGTCGCGTTGAGGGCCCCCGTGCGCGTCATTTCCGGCCACATCGCACCTCCTCCAAGTCCACCCTCATCCATGAATGGTATCCCTCCGCGCCGTCGCTTCGAGATATGATGGTTGGAGGACGGAGGGAGCGATAACAGGTATTCTCTCTCGCAATGACTCGAGCTCCTGGCGCGAGTTACGCTCAGTTCTTTCCTGCTGCCCCCCGGGTCGTTGCCAGGGACCGGACAAGGGATCGGGAAGATCGCGAAGGTCCCAAGGGAAGCACCCTCGATTCGTCGCCTTTGCCAGATGATACCACCAACGGCCACCTCACCTCGCTAGGCCCCGCGGAATCCTGTCCACCTCAGCAGGACGGGCACATCCCCCCGAGCGCCATGGCCGGCACGAGATTTTCGAGCAGCCAGCTCACCCCTCCAGCTTCCAACGACTCCCCCTCATCCCATCTCTCATCAGCTGCCCAGCAGCCGTCGACGACCGTGCGGAACACCAACGGGTATCACGGTCATGTCCCAATACAGAACGAACCGCTCCAGAATGGCACGTCGAGTGTTCTGCCCAGTGTTCCCGAACGCACCTATGCCCGAGACCCCTCACGCCCGATTCAAACCGTCGTGTGCACATATGATCCTCTCATGGATAAGAAGCTGCCGAGCGGTGAAAGAATGAAAACAAAACCGAAATATAAAGAGTTTGGATTGGTATGTACGCCCGATACTCATATATACTGGAGAGAGGTGGGGGGGGGGGGGGGGGGGCTCTCTTCATTCCTCTTCCCCCCTCAATATTCACTCCCCTAATCACTCTCCCACAACTAACCTTCTAATATCTACTCTTCCCCCCCAAAAATCCCCCCCCTTTACAAAATATTAACCCTCCTTCTCTTACATCAACATTTAACTTTTTACTAATTCTAATTCACTTTTTTTTCCATATTTAAATAAATTTTTAAACTATATAAAATACTACCTTATATTTTCTTTCCCAACTTTCTTTTCTACAAATATTTTTTTTACTCTATTAAATTCTATTAACCTTTTTTTTTATATTAATTACTTTTTTTCTTTATTTTTATAAATTTTTTA